TTGGCAAAGCCAAAATTTTTAAAATGATAGGGCACCATACTGTCCGAAAATACTTCATTAAACCCCTAAATTCTGTCTTTTTAAGCTATTTAATTAAAAAAAAAGAACCAAGTCACAACTACGTATCACGAGTGTTCTTAATATCAAGATTCAAATTTATTTTACGTAGTATATATTTAAAAATTTATCAAATATTACCCCGGCCTATTCAAGACTTTAAGCAATAACTCAATTTTAAAAATATTCTGCTTATTGGTTCGGAAATCACTAAACACATTATTCGTCCTCCTTCATCTATATAACACGTCCTCCTTCATCCTAAAAAGACAGAGAAAGATAAAAACAAAATTCCTTTCTCACAAAAATGATGCTTCACTACATACCATTATTCTTTGAGCATTGTTCGAAAGTGTTCTCAATCTAATTCTTTATCGTACACCAAGAGTTAGAGTCATGTATCCCTAGAGGTCGATTGCTACGAGTCTATATGTGCAGTATGAGGCAAAGTCGATTTTAGGGCAGTGATGATGCTATGTCACGCTACGACATTATTAAATCAGATTAGTTTGTTTTAATCCTTATTGCTATTAGTCGTATTTCCTACAATTTAAAGTCGGATTTATAAATTCGTCTATTGTGGCTAATGGTGATACTTGTTTGTGGTATAAAGGACTATATGTTATCAAGTTTATGTTTGTATATACTTAACTTAGTCATATTTCCTACAATATAAAACCATGGATCGTGCATGGTATTTTCAGTGTGAGGAGAATATATGTTGCATAATATAATTCCAAGTTATTTAATCTATATTAAGAAATTGTATATAACCTTCCCGTACATGTTTAATGGCGGATCCAGGATTTTAAGGCTGTTGGGCCACCGTCACTTATCGACCGTCACCCATCGACCGCATACCCATTGATCTAGGAGGTAGATCTTTGTTGAGGATGATTTTGTGATATAGGAGAATTTTAATGAGGAAGAAGTTGCATTTTGGACTAAAGAAACTAGCTTGTTATAAATTACATGTCTTTTTTCTTTTTCGTTATGAAAATTAAGTCACAATTTCAATTAGATTACACAATCCTATATTGTCAAAAATACCCAAGTTAAGTATATAAAAACATAAACTTGATAATGAATTCACCAAAACATATAAAAAAAAAAGAAAAAAAAACAACAACATAACATGATTATGATATAATAAATAAATTATATACTCAATTTAGCAAGCAATTCAATTATCACTATGTTTGGTTTAAATTCAACAATTATCAATTTAGCAAACAATCAAAATGCCCATTATAATTGTAATACCCCGTATCTTGCCCAAGGTAGAGAATAACAAAAGGTAAACTCTCTCTCTATCTCCTCTCTCCTTTAATTTTCCTCCTCCACTTTCGTTTTAATTTCACACACATCACCCCACACACACACCTCCACCACGGTGACAGTTGCCACCACCACCACTGTCGGCAGTCGCCGCTAGCAAAGTGCCGGCAGCCGCAATCGCCAGCATAGGGCCGGCAGCAGGAGCAGCGTTGGAGGTGGCGCTAGCCAACCTCCCCTTCCCCCTTGTTATTCGTGTGTTTTCAAAAAAAAAAATTCTTTTGTTTTACAATTATTCAAGCTTTAATTCAATTATTGTTTTTGGGTTGTGTGATGAATTTTATGATGTTTGAATATAATTATTATGTATATAATTTTCATATTCGGTTTTTGAATTAATAATCCCCAAATTGAAAACCCTAGGTTTCTAAATTAATGTGTGTTGATGAAAATTGATTGTAGGTGATTGAAACTAATAAATTAGATGTTTTAACATAATTACATCAATTTTACATGGTTTTATGAAGCTGGAATTTTTATATAAAGGCTATAATTATGTTTCTTAAAAGGATTTTTAATTACCCATTTACTGAGAATAAATTAAAAGTAAGGGTTTAAAATTAATTTTCAACTTATTTTAGAGGGTTTCTGAGTGATTTATGGAGTGTATATATTGCTGAAAATATATATTGAACAGGTATTAATGTCTCTTTGTAATTTTGGGTTGTAGGAGATTTCTAAGTGAGTGATTTTGTTTAGGCGTGGTGATTTTGAGATCATATTCAAGGTACGTTCGCGTACTTGGTAATTATTTAAGTGTATAGAAGCATGATAGGCTTTATTTAATTATTTCCATGGTAGTATCATGATAGGTATTGGTTGGAATTGTGGATTGGATTGATGTTGGTGATTGATTTGTGAAGTATGAATTATTTGTGGTGAATTGATGAGTGAAATTAATTATATTGGCATGTTGAATATGAACTACACTTTTATTATTGGCATGATTGAGAGCATGTTTATTTAAACTAAATGTTTAAGTTGGTTTGGAATATTGAAAGGGAATTTTAACTTGATCAACATACATATTCACCATATTCACCTAACAACTCTGGTTTTAACATGATCAACATATTCACCATATCGGACTCTCTACATAGTGAGTATGAGATCAATACACACTCCATTATTACCGCATGTGGAGGCCATAACATTTAGACTTGTACAACCTTACTAGTTCTTGTCAAACCATACCTTTTCACTAGTAGAAAAAATGAAAAAGGCACCCCCCTTTTCCCACTGGTTTTTAAAAACGATGGGAAAAGAAATGGGCGGGACTTGGATAATTTCTTTTCCCACCGGTTCCTTATAAACCGGTGGGAAAAATTTATTTAGAACTGGTCAATTTTCTTTCTTACTCTATCATTTCCTCGATCTTTCCTCCTCTCTCATCTGCCTCTCTCTCTCCTCCATTGAAGCGTACTCGACATTCTCCATTGAAGGGGCTTCTGATTTGCAAGTGCCCACCGTCGACCATTGCTGGGTCTGCCTCTAATTGTCGGTGCTAGTGATGGTGGGTTCCAGCCTCTAATTGTCTCAAGCACCACCGAATTTGTTCGCAAGTGCCCACCGTCGACCATTGCTGGTTCTGCCTGCTCCGGTCGCACGCACCACCGTCCTTGTGCTCCACCACCACCGTCCAACAGCTGACCACCAAGTTCGTTGTTGAATTCTATTTATTTAACTTCTTACCTCAATTTCGTTTTCTTCTTGCTAGGTTTACAATTTTGATTGCAGTTTTTAGGTCCAAATTGGGGCAATTTCATTGTTATTGTTGTTGTTTTTAAATTATTATAGGTTATTAGTTCTGAAATATATTGGCATTTTTCTAGGGTTTTGTTAATTTAGATTTTTCAATTTATTATTATTAGCTTCTAATTTTCTGGAATACATGTTTGATTCCTTAATGGTCCAGGATAGAAATGGAAATTTAGCATCCGACACGATTGCGAACCTTGTTGATGAGCTTGGTGCTGTGGTTATTTACAGAGAAGGACTTCCAATGAATGTATCTGTCACCATGTCTATCTCCTATGTGTCAACTGCCAAGGTTGATGTATGTGTAACTTCAATTCTTGAACTTCTTGTTATTGTTTATCATGCTGATCATACTTTGGTTTGTTGTATTAGTGACTTGTGATGGTTTGCTTCATTATGAATGTTAACATGAGCTATTTTGGCTCGGGCAAATGCTAGTGATACTACTCAAATTTAAGCTATTTTGTTGATACTAGTCTAGTTTAACTATTAAGTAGATTATTAGAATGACTTTTTAATTGTTTAGTTAATTTTATAATTTTTTTGGTGTGTGTGTGTGGGAGGGGAGTGACTGAAGATATCTCATTCTTGTCATGATGTGAAGTCTGATGAATAGAGCAAGAAGCCCATAGCTTAGTGGAGCAAGGCTTCAGTTCCCGTGGCTGTGACTTGGGTTCGAGGCTCATATCCCCCCTCCCCCGTGGGTAATACCCCTTGATATTCCTGTGATAGGAAATCAAGGTGAAGCCCACCCCTTACCCCTAAAAAAAATGAAGTCTGATTTGCTTATTATGCCAACATTCCTTCCTCCAAGAAAGAACGGTTAAATTATTTTTTCCGTAAGGCAATTCATGAGTTGAGTGGTTATTATTCAGTCTCTTTAATGAGGCTAACTAAGGATAATTAAGCATATGCTCTATAATTTATTAAACTAGATTATGATTTATGCATCATTGCTAGAAGAATTTTTAAGTGTATACACGAACAGTTAAGACTCATGAGGTTTCTTTCATGTGATTATTTATGAACTAATTGCTACATTCCTGAACTTGTAGTGTTTTTTCCCCATCTGTATAAAGTAAATAAATATCTAGTTTTCAGTTCTTATGCCTTTACTAGAGAAGAAAATACTAGTAGTTATAACTGTTGATTCACATAATGTTTCATGGTTAGATCTTTGGTTATGTTCTTGGTGTTTCTGCTGGGTTTGTTGTTGGTAAGGCCCTATGGTTCATACTAGGGCTTGCATCGCCAATCTACTTGGTCAGGGTGGCTCTCGCAAGTATGGTTTGACCTGGAATTAGCTCAGATATTTCAAGAATGATAGAGACCGGCGAGATTTGACCACCTGTGGTGCTGCAGCTGGAGTGGCTGCTGCTTTTCGTGCTCCTGTTGGTGGTGTACTTTTTGCCCTTGAAGAAGCAGCCTCCTGGTATGCTTACTCTTGGTTACCAGCAAAGAAAATTTTGTACAATTTGAATCTAGAATTTGATGCATCATATAAGGTTTCATGCATGAAGCTTAGCATAGAACAAAGATTTTAATTTGTCCATCTATCTTATTGTTAAAGCCTCAGTCATATCTTGGACCTAGTTTATGTATATGTGAGGGATAAGATGAATTTATTTATTAATTTAGGTAATCTTATTACTGCAAAATGAAAATCTGATGATGGAAGTGGAATGTATAAGATATTTATAATGGATAGGATCCTAGATATGTACATATGTAGTAATGCTATTCTTTTCTGACAACTTAAAGCCTATGTTACTTTGGCTCTTCAGCTTGTCTTCCTACCCATGTCGAACAATCGACATTCTGACAAGGGTATATAATTCTTACACAACACTCCATGCTCACTCATTCACTTCAATTATCTTGAACCCCTAATTTTAGAGAAAAAAATGTACAAATATAATGAAGATGAGAATAAGTACGATATGTTTTCACAAGTACGTTTCACACAAGTATTTCAACAAAAATTAACTATCAAGTCTGCTTAACATGTGTGCATGCATCTGTATGCTTTAACTCACGCAAAGTCTTCTAAAAATGAACATGTTCCATATATGTCGTTCGACTCGTGTCCTTGCAACCATGTCCAATTCTAGGATGTGTGTCGTATCTGATTTTTACATTCTAGTGTAGCAATTATTTTGATATGTACCTGCATCCCTATTATCCTTCATATATACTAGAGGATTTATATCAACTATGGCAATGATAATGTCCTCTATGCAGTAACTCAGTTAGCACAAACTGTGATGCGTAGTGCTATTGGAAAAATGCCACTTGACAGGACCTTTATGGAGAGAGACACTATAAATGCAAACATTGTGGTATGATTCTTATCACCATGTCCTTAATCCTTTACTATTATACTTTTATCTCTGAATATTGACATATATATTCCTTATGCTTGCGGTGTATGATCTTATTTGCCTTAGTAGGGTTTCTTCATATTGTGTTTCAATGTGTGATGTATGAGTAAGTTTATATTTTACATGAATTAGTAGGGTTTCTTCAGCATCAACAAGTAGGGTGCTTTACTCTTTTTAGCTAAGTTCTTGTTCGTGGCGCGTTCGATTTGCTTTAAACTTAAAAGGTTTAATCTTTGCTTTCCTCAATTTATTTTTCCTCCAATATTTTACTTATTTAGCATTTTCAATTAATTGCAAATTCTGATTATAATTTGGACTAATTTGAGCTTGATCATGCTGTAGGACTTCAATATGAGTACAAAGCAGTTGATCTTATCAAAGGGGAGCAATTTAATCCAGGTGACTAAAAGTTGTTGCTTCGTCTTCGTTATTTATTATGATTATTATCTGACCACTTAAATAAAACCAATGTACTGCTCTCAATTTGGTCAATTTAGTTGTTTTATGTACATATATTGAAGGTAGTAGTTTTTAGTGGGATGTTAATTAACATTTGTAGTGAAGTTGGAAATTTTATTATGAGTGCTTTCAATTAAAATCATTTTGAAACACTGGAATTGAAATAATCTCGTGTTTTTCATTGATCAATACTCTTATGATATTAGTTTTCCAAGCTTTTTTTAATTGAGAAGTTATGTTAACACATGATACTGACTGTTATTTGTTGTTAACATAAACGCTTGCTTATTTGCTGTATTAAATTCCAACAATAGCTAAGTTGTAATTATTCGCGGTGGTTGGTAGAAGCCTGGGACCAGAAACTGTGTGAGTCCTTGTTAAATTAATCCCCGCTCCTCCCATATGCACAATGTGCTGAAGGATAGTAATAACCATTGATAGTATTATTACTGCTAGGATACATGGTCCACAATAGGCTAAGTCCCTGGCTAAGCTGCCCTCTGCTGTGGACTTGCATAGTTTCTGACATTTGATTCGTAAGTCTTTCAGATCTTACAAGTGAACTACCAAGTATGAGTTAATCAAATATGGAGTTCTAAATAACAGTCACGGTTGTGTCAACATGCATTCAACAGCTATCTGTGGTTTTTTCAAAGTTTTGTCTGGCCTTTTAGCAACCCACAACCTGAAAGAGTAGCCATGACTACCTTATACGACTGATTTTAGTTAATGTCATTGCAGTCCATCACCTCATAGAAAATGTATTAACTTTAAAGTTGATAAAGATTTATGATTTGAGGGAAAATAAATTTTGGTGGGTGCAACGAACTAGTATTAACTAGTATATACCATGCTGAGTTTGTCTCGTGCAGGTCCTGTAGCAGGTCTTACTCTGGTACAGATTCTGCTGCAGTCTCTGTTCTGGGTGTTGGATTTGGTTTGCTGGGTTCTGGCTTTGTTGAGTTCAGGTCTGCTAGGGTCTGGTTTACAGACGCTCGGGCTTCTGGTTTCTAGTTGCTGTGCTGTTCCTGGCTACTGGGATCTGGTTGCAGGCTCTGGTGTAGTTCATGTGCTGGATTTGGTTGCTGCAGGTGTTGGGTGGCTGGTTATGCTTGGTATGCTAATCTGTTTGGAAACCTGCTACTGGAAGCCTGCTGGCTGTGTCTGTTTGGGCTGTTTCTGTTTTTTGTTTCTGTTAGGGTGGGCTGCTGTCTTCTATTGCAGTGCATCATGGTTGGCTATTTTTGAAGAAAATATATATGTTAGTGTTTATATGTCCATTTTTTTTTTTAGTTTTTTAAAGTGTAATATTACAAGTTATTGAGGCAAATGTATGTGTTTTATGTATATTATGATTATATATAAGTATTTGGTACAATTTAAGTGAAAAAAATGCAAAAAAAAAAATAAATTTTTTTTTAATTTTTTAGGGCACTTTTGGCACCGGTTTTGGAAAGAACCGGTGCTAAAAGTTTTCCTAAAATTTTTTTTGGAGACTTTTGACACCGGTTCAATGTGTAAACCGGTGGGAAATGTCATGGTTTTGCCACCGGTTCACCCCAAAATCGGTGGGAAATGTCTTCCATCTATAACATAAATCACATGTTTTTGCCACCCGGTTCACTCCAAAACCGGTGGGAAAAGTGGTTTTTGCCACCGGTTTTGAACCGGTGGGAAATCTTTGAGGATTTAGCACCCCCCAAATCAAGAACGATTCAAAACCGGTGGGGAATGTGTGGTTTGAACCGGTGGGGATTGGGGTTTTTCGCCTAGTGTTTACTTCTGCTCTCAAGCATGGAGAAAACCCGATCACTTCTTGACCTTCAACAAGAAAAGTCAAAATGCTGGTTCTCTAGCAGTTACACACATTTCAAGTTCAAAAGATAAGCCAAAGAACACAAGAATTAACAACGATAATTATAAATCCCCTTTTTCAAACTAAAGGGAACATCACAGGCTTAAATAATTCAACACACATACTATCAAAAGATAGAACAAATAACATCCATGATCAACTAGGAAAAATGCCAATACACATAATCATACATGATTAAACTAACCACACAAAAAATGGCAGAAATAAGGTACTAGAACTTTAGCAAAATTAATTAGCACTGTTGCTAATAACTCACAAAAATTCCCATCTCAAAAACACTTACCAACGTGAGTTTAGAAATATCTTACATAAATTTGAGAAGGAACATATCTGATATTGAGCACGATTGACCGCGCATCCCGTCTGCTACCTTGGTACGACACGCAGACTTTCTCAAGATTACCCATTGCATCTGTTAACTAGCACACGACCTCGTTCCAAAGAGAACAATCCTTTGATGCCATGGTCGCAGTACCACAACAGTACGCTCACTTTGATTATTAAAGTTAATTTGATTTCAATGAACAAGCACTGTCCATCATTAATCCATAACAAAAGTAAAGTCTACAAAACCACACGACCGTGTAGAGTAACGTAGACGACCATGAGTATCACAGGGTCATGTAGTACAAGGTACATGACCATGTATCGGATTGTTCAATAATGAGTTTTCAACCAAGGAGTTACTCTCACCTACTCGTTCGAACAAATCAACTCGATTAAGTCTGAGATAAAAACTTTTCGGTTGCATTACTAACTCCAACATACTCTACTAGGAAGCTTATCATATCTCAATGGCAATTTGGGATACATACACTTCATTCAAAGTATTGAACACGTACTTGTCTGTTAATTGAAAAGACATAATATACTAGTGTGAGATCTTGTTGGATATTGTATGTTTTATCAATATCTAATTTATATAATTTTTACACATATGAAAATAAAAATAAAATCATTTTAACATGTGTATTAGAGACCGTGAAAAAGTAAAAAAAAAATGCATTAAAATATTAGGCTAAGAGGGAGTATATATAACAGTGGACCCATATTATATAAAGGTACTTAATAGTTGAAGTCGTCACATTCAAGTGGAGTACGTATATAATAATCCATACTTCTTACATGTAAAAAGTACACATTTAAAAGAAACGGCCGTAAATTTCATCAATGCCGTAAATTTCATTAGAAACAACCAATAATAAGAAGATAGGAATTGAATATTTGGTGATAGATGAACTATTTTTGCTACTATGTATCTTGTTAAATATCTTAATCGTTGCCATAGTATTAATTAGCCAAAATTAAAGGGATTGAAGTTTGATAATTGAAGAACAAGTGAAGCAGCGTGATTGGAAAAATTTATATTTTTGATCATGTTATTCATGGAAACTGGAGAAGGAGGAGGTGAAGAGATTAGAAAACATTGTAAATTTCACCTAATTGACTGATATGATAGCTAAGTAAATAATGCTAATTGCTAAATAAATTGAGTAATTAACTCTTAGAAAGCTCTTTTGTTGAAATGTAAGTTGGATAAAGAACACGGAGCCAAATCTACAACTAAAGCCCACAAGTTACAAAGTATTAAATTAAACTGATTTTTTTTATATAATTTTGGGCCTTTTTTGGCGTGGGCCCTAGACTGTCGCACTAAGGGCTGAAACTAGGTTTGCATCTCACAATCTTGAGGTTGTGGGATATATCAAACTAGGGCTAAGCAAAATTATTTGAAGATCCGAAAATCCGATAATCTGATCCTCATCCGATCCGAAAATTATGGAAATCCGATCCGAATATGAATTCAAATCGGATATCTGATCCGGATTTTTAAGATATCGGATATCCAAATTTTGGATTTCAAATATCCGATATCCGAAAAAAAGTCGGATATCAGACATCGGATATCCGATCCGATACCCAAAAAATAGTTGTTTTTCCATTTTTATTTCTCGAATATTCTCTATTTCATAGCCTTTTCACATAAAAAAAAGGTTGGAGACTAGAACCCTAATTCCCTAAACAGAAACGCATTTCCCACACACTCCCGCCTCTCTCTTTCTCTCCCCTCTCTCCTCTCAAAGTCTCAAGTCTCTGAGATTTCAGTCATCTCACTCCTAAATCGAGTGCCCTCTTATCAGATTTTAGTCATCTTACTCCCAAATCGACTACGGTGACGGCGTCTTCTCCATTTCTTGGGTCGGTGACATCGTGGCAGAGACAGCTACTCTATCTTCCTCACGGCTTCTTCCTCTTTAATAAGTTTCTTCCTCTTTTTAGTTTGCTCCCTTGTTCATTTTCTCCTCTTTTCTCTCCCTTAGGTCATTTAATGGTGATTTTTTTTTTTATTTGATTTCATTTAATGTTGAATTTCATTTTCGCCTTCTATTATATTGTTGATTTCAATTCTTTTGTTTATGTATAAATTTCTAATTTCAATTCGTTTTTGTAAGTATAAATATACCCTTGTTTTTCTTCAATTACTGGTTCAATTAGCATGTGTTCATACTGGCAGTATATAGGGCTATAGGTTGATTTGTGTTCAATTAGTGAGTTAGTGCTGTTAGTGTTCAATTTTGTGGGTTGATATTTGATTGTTCATTATAATTAGTATGCTTTAATATTTAATTTTTGATAAGTTAATATTCTGCAATTTGTGGGTATTTAAATTCTAAAGTGGTCTAATGTTGTGTTGTAGATAATGGATGATATTACTGCTGAAAGTGCTGCCCCAACTAATCCGTCAAGTGAGGATCCCTAGGTTTCATGTGCTGCTGCTGTCGAGCCTGTTTGAGATCAAAATCCACCACCAACAGTTTCAGCAAAAAGACCTTCAACTGGGACTAGTAATGATGTAGGAGCTGAAAATAAAGGTAAGAAAAAAAGGTCTTGGCTTTGGGATCATTTTGTGTTGATAAAAAAAGGTGAGGATAAAAGTTCAAAATGTTTGTATTGTCAAGTTGATGTTTGTGGTGACTCTAAAAGTGGTCAAGTGTTATGAAAAATCATCTTTCAAGTGTAAGGATTATCCCCCTAATATTTAGCAATCACAAAGGCCTCTTGCTTTTTCTAGTGAGCAAAGTCAACAACATTTAGTAGATAGTATAGGTGACAATAAAAAAAATGGGAAAAGAAGGGGAAATTAGAATTTTGGAAGTTTAGGAAGGAGGATGGTCGAAAAGCTTTTGCTAAAATGATAATAATGGATCAATTCCCATTTAGGTTTTCTGAGCGTGAGGGTTTTCGCCATTTTATGTCTGCTGTTCAACCAAATTTCATTATTCCCTCTCGTTTCAAAGTTGCAAGAGATTGTAATCGTGTGTTTTTGGACTCAAAAAAAAATCTGATTAGCAAGTGTTCTTCTCGTATTTGTCTCACTACCAATACATTTATGGACCTCTTGTCAAAATTTGTCTTACATGTGTTTAACAACCCATTTTATTGATCATAATTGGAACTTGCACAAAAAAAAATTAAATTTTTGTCCAATTAGTGACCATACAGGTGAGAGTATTGGTAAATCTGTTGTAAAGTGTTTGCTTGAGTTGGGTATCACCAAGGTAATGACCATTACCGTAGACAATGCAAGTTCAAATGATGTAGGGGTTCAATATTTGAGGAGAAGGTTGCAAAGATGGAAAGATGGGACTATTTTAGATGGTAAATTCGTGCATATGTGATGTGTAACCCACCTTCTTAATTTAAGAGTGAGGGAAGGTTTTAAAGAGTGTGATGAATCAATAAAAAGAATACGTAGTGGTGTGAGATTTGTTAGATCTTTCCCTGCTAGATTGCAAAAGTTTCGAAATTGTGTTAATCAAGAACAAATTGAATCCAAACGTCAACTTTGTTTGGATGTTGAAACTAGGTGGAACTCCACTTATTTGATGTTACAATATGCTATGGTATATCGAAAAGCTTTTGATTTGTTGGAAAATTCTGATGGTGATAAATTTCTTGTTGAATTAACAAAACTCTCTGGTGTTCCTACTGATAACGATTGGAATCGTGTTGCTTCTTTGCTTACCTTTCTCAAGATATTTTATGATGCCACTTTGAGACTTTCTGGAAATTTGTATGCTACTACCATTGTGTATTTGCTTGAACTTGTGACAATTGGAAGATGATTAAAAAAAGGTGTGAAAGTGTTGATAGTGGTGAGATGTCAATGGCTCATGGGATGAAGAAAAAACATGAAAAATATTGGGATAATGTGGATAACATTAACTTGATGTTGTATGTTGCTGTTGTCCTTGATCCTAGATGGAAAATGCATTATGTGAAATGGGCTATTAATGATCAATATGACTCTGTGAAGGCTGCAAAATTGCATGATATGGTCATGAATACTTTGACTACGTTGTATAAACATTACGCTTCTTTACAAAGTCAAAATGTGCCAAATGTTTCTGAAATATTGATTTGATGAGTTCAAAGAGAC